CGATTTCCTTTTTGGAGTTTCGCGTTGTCCACCTTCCTGTTTACAATTCTTCCAAGCTTGTATCATCTGCAAACTTTGAAAATGTCACTGCACACCAAGATCCACCATCTACAAGGTTCAAGTCAGAGGTGTGATAGTATACTCCCACAGCAAGGAGATGATGTTGAACTTGTATAAGATACCTGTTAGGCCTTCACATTCTGAAGGCCAATTAGGAATTGTCAGCACATCCTGGCAGTCAGCAATGTCCCCATCCCATGAATGAATAAAATGACAATTTTCAGTGCCAGTATGATGCAAGGTATTAGACCCAGTAACTGGCAGAGTGTATCAAACAGCCATATTCTTTTGACTGTCTGCCTCAATGTTATTTGCACAGTGATGATAAGTATTTAGATCACTGGTTGTTTGATTGAACATAGGGCCTTTCTTTTCTTGTCAGCTTTAGTATTCTTCCTTTCAGCAACTTTGAGTTTTGTTTTTCCCCTGCTCTTTCAACAGAGTTTGACAGGGTGATTTTTCACAGCAAGGATAAAGTTCTTCAGCACCTCCTACATCAGTCCCTCTAGACTTCTGCAATTGGAGACAAATTTGAAAGCAGAAAAATCAGAAGTTCCAAGTATCAGTGATTCAATTTTGGCATCACTCATAGTACCCAAAAGATAGCCAGCATCGAGTCCAGTTTCTCACCCCCAATATTTCTGTATGTGGTATACAAGTGCATATGTAACATTCATTGTTTATTGTAGGCTGTAACAGCTGTGTTGCAGCAATGCAGTCTTCCAGAAATTTATGCTTAATTTCTGCTATTATTTAGCTGATTAAGATATTGCTATTGAGTGCACAGGCTGTGGATGGGTGGGCTCCATTCTGCTGGGGAGATCATACTTCACACTGTCAGGTTTGCATAAAAGGTACTTGTAGATACTTCAGTCATTTTCCCATCTGTCTTTTGAAAACATGTTCTTCAGTTTTTCATTTTACAATCCAGTCCGTTTTTGGCTTAGTGATTGAAAATAGATAACAGCGCAGGGCTTTGATCATTGCCTCCACGTGGCAGTTCTGCAGTTTTCACCATATAGTTTGCTTTTATTTTGCCTGATGTTTTACTGGGTGTTTAAAAGCTCATATTAACTCACTCTGATTATGAAGGAACGTGTTTTAGTTTTGATGACATGGAGATGAAATTGGCAACTCTGAGGACTTATGTGTAAGAAAAATGTTTTGTTTTTGAAAATTAAGCCAGAAATTCATATACTTCGGCAAACAACAAACCAGTTATGCATAGGGCTGAATGGGAGTCACGTAAATATCTCAAAGTTGTGTTGAGTTTAATGGAGTTCAGTTCATGTGTGTATTTTTGCTTTCTGGAATGATTTAATGAATTTCTGTTGCTCAGTGTGACTGGACTAGACAAAATGTAATTAGAGTATTCGATTTCCATTAGACAGTGACCTTAAGCAGTGAGGGAAGAACACATACCCAGTGTTTAAGAATGGAGTTCTCAACTAATTAATTATTCTGTACTGATTTTTAGCTAACTGTAAGTAGGTACAGATGTTTGTAGAGCCACGGGATAATTTAAAAACTGTGCCAGAGACTTGTTGGAATTAGTCCACTCCTTCGGAAAAATTGTTACATAAGATCAAGAGAATTTAAATTGAGTGTTGTTCATTGGCAGCAGTGCGATAGAATCTTCAATGAATCTTAAAGCCTAAACTCTGCTCAGTGAGGTGGGGTCTTTTTGTAATAGCTTATGAATAATCAAAGTACAGGAATATAATTATGATTAATTAGTTGCCACAATAGATCTGTTTTGCCCCTTGTCAGGAAATTGTCTGAATGCACAATTGTAAGACAAGTTAGAGGCTAACATTGCTGCAGGAGATTTGTAGAATGATGCTCAGCATTTAACTGCCTTTATTACAGTAATTGCAAACAAGACTTAGGCCTGAATTTCAGCTTGAAGATGTGTTCCACAGCAGGCTCCAGGACTGCTATTCTAAGGACAGGAAACCTGGAAGCCTGGGTTTCTGTATTCTCCTTTAATGTTTTTAACTCTGCTATTGCCCATAAACAGCTCAATTTATAGGCTTACAGTTGTGTCAGGTGAGAATTCTGCAGCACAAAACCACAGCAAAGGAGAGCAATTTGGATTCAGAAGGCTAGGAAGTTTCACCAGAGTGGGGAAAGTCGGTGTTTTTTTTTTTATGAACTGATTACAGTTCTCCTGAAAATTATAATATTTATTGTGAAAAAATTGTCTTGCTTTCTCTTGACTTAAAATGGCCAACATGAAGAAAATGTTTTCTTTCTACAGTGGGATATTCGATCTGGAGAGATTGTTCAGGAGTATGATAGACACCTAGGAGCTGTGAATACCATCACATTTGTGGATGAAAACAGGCGATTTGTGAGCACTTCTGATGACAAGAGCCTCAGAGTCTGGGAATGGTATGTTTCTTTGCTGTGGAGATGAAGGTTCATGTTCTTTTTTTTATATATGTGTGAGATAGGAGGGAAAAATAGCTAAATAAGAATTACACACCAATAAAGTGCCTATCTGTTCCCATGGTGGAACTTTCCTAAAAAAAATATTTATTTTATTTATACTGTGGTTCATGTGAATAATGCAGATGTTTTCCCAAAGTTGCAAATTCACTAGTTTATTCAGAATCTTTATTCATGGTTTCTTTAGAAATTTACTTGCGTTATGCAATGGTAAGTATTCTGCTGTGTCTGTTATTTAGAGTTTACACTGCCTCAATAGTTGTAAATATTTCACAATTTGAAATACTCATCATTGCTGATCAGATTTGTGAACCAATTATGGTGTCCAGTAGTAAAGAACACAAGTATGTTGTTCACTGCTTGGATTATTAATGAGCTAAAACTCCTGATTTCCTAACAGCTTGAGAATTAGATCAGATTTTATGTGCCAATAACATACTGTAACTTAAACTTCTTGAATAAGCAGAGTTAAAATCAAACTTCCATCACTCACTACTGTTGAGTAAAGCAGCAATTGCAAGTAGTTTGAAGCATTTACAGTAAAGAATTAATGTAATTTAGTTGAATTCTAAAAGCAGTGGTGTGTTTCTTCTGATGTTTTTTTTAATAGTTTCCTGCCTCTGTTCTTCCGATGCGGTCAAGTAGTCCTTTCTCATCTGGGTTATTTGAATGCAGGTCATTACAGCTTCTCACAGTATCCAGAAGAGTTTTCCACTTTGATTCCTAAAACTAGAGTCATTGGGAATCGCAAGGAAAGCTTTCCACTGGCTAAAGCACAAATTAAAATGGTTGTGATTGTTGGAGGCAGTTATCTCAGTACCAAGTCATCATTGGTAGATATTTTCTAATCAATGTGTTCAGAGATTTCAGTACACACCTGTGGAACTGGGAGGACTTAAAACCAGGTCTTCTGGCTCAGAGGTGGGGACACTAACACTGCACCACAAGCCCCCATAATTCCTCAGGGTAATATCAAAGGCCCAACAGCTGCTGCACCAATACAATACAATATAGCACAGGAACAGGCCCTTTGGCCCACCAAGCCCTCTCTGATTCCTAGTCCTTATTTAGACCGGCTACCTGTTGTCCATATGTAGTTTCTATCCCTGAGTTTACCTCCTGTTCATGTTTCTATCAAGATATGCCTTAAACTTTGCTAATATGCCCACTTTCACCATCTCCATCCGCAGTGCATTCCAGGCACCCATCACCCTCTGAGTAAAAAATTTTCCCCGTACTTCCCCCACCCCCCCCAAACATTCCCCCTCTGACCTTAACCTGTGCCGTCTTGTTGATCTTTCTACCCTGTCACTGCCTCTCATAATTTTGTAGACCTCTATCAGGTTAGCCCCTCAGCCTCCTTCTTTCCAGTGAAAACAATTGAGTTTATCCAACCTCTCCTCATACCTAAAAACCCTCCAGATCAGGCAACATCCTGGTAAAACTTCTCCGTACCCTCTCCAAAACATCCACATCCTTCTGGTAATATGGCAACCAGAACTGCATGCAATATTCCAAATGTGGCCTGATGAAAGTTTTATACAGTTGTAACATAACTTGCCAGCTTTTATATTCGACCGATGAAGGCAAGCAAGCTGTCCTCCATCATAACATTAGTAGTAGGGATTTACGCTGTGATTGTTCAGCACCAATCGTCAGTTGTCAGATACTGAAATGGCCTGTATTCACATGCACAAGACCTGGACAGCATCCAACATGAGCTAATAAGTAGTAAGTTAAATTCAAGCCACACAAATGCAGTCAATGACCAGCTCTATCAAGAGAGAATATAACCATCTTTCCTTGACATTCGATGGCATTCCCACCACTGAATTCTGCGCGATCAACATAATGAGGATTACCATTTACCAGAAACTGAACTGCATTGGTCATGTAAATTTTGTGGCAACAAGAGATGGTCAGAGGTTAGGAATTCTACATTTAGTAACTTACCTCCTGTCTCGCCTATGGATGTCCACCATTATCAAAGCACAACTCAAGTATGATGGAATACTATTCATTATCAATCTCCTGACTGAATTCAGTTCCAAAAACACTCGATCTTGATACCAGAAAGGATGAAGCAGCCCATTTGATTAGCACCCCATCTAACACCTTCGATATTCACTACCTTCACAAACAACACACAGTGGCAGCGGTGTGTATCATTTACAAGATGCATTGCAGCCATTCACCAAGGGTCTTTCAATGACACCTTCCTTCCACACCCATAACCACCACCACCTGCAAGTTCCCCTTGAAGCCACATACCATGCTGTCTTTAAAATATAATGCTGGCTATTCACTGTTATTGGGTCAACGTCGTGGAACTCTCTAATAGCAGTGTATACATCATATGGACTGCAATGGTTCAAAAAAGCCGTTCACCAACACCCTCTCAAGGGCAATAGTAATGGACAATAAATGCTTGAGACATTCACGTTCTATAAAAGAACTTTTAAAAAACCACAAGATGTTGATGAACAGCTGAGTTCCTGTTGCCAGTGCCAGTGTTGCTAAAGATAGTTTGCAGAGACCTAGAACTTCAGTTGCAAAATCAAAGTGTGTCTTTAGCCAACCAGCAAAATACACACAATCAATTAAAATCTTATACGTGGTATTACCTTGTTTCCATCCACTTTGACTAGTCTTTTTTCAGCTAATAGCCACAAAACAATTGTGCTTAATTGGAATTTCTCTAACCCTGCTGATGGCTTAGCTATTGAATAAAAGGGTGACTGATAAAAATTAATACTGTACAGACTTATTCTGAGCAGAAGCCAGTGATATGGGTACTATGATTGAACAAAGATTAACTCAGCCAGATGATCATAACTAAATAGTGCTCATTGAATACATATGTGACTATAAAACAAGAATAAGATTGGTGACAAAAACTGAAATTGCTTGAAAATCTCAGCAGGTCTGGCAGTATCTGTGGAGAGGAATCAGAGTTAATGTTTCAGTTCCAGTGACCCTTCTTCAGAACCCTGCAAGTAGCAGACTATTTAGGCTCACAGTTGAAAGTTGGCCTCTTAAGCAAAGTACTGGAGGGCTGTCAGGACCATAGAACTGTACATCAGAAAGAAGTCAATACTTTTGAAAGGAAACAATTGTGTTTGCTTCCTTACCTTATTCCCTCAGTATGATCTAGATGCTTTCCAAGCATGTACTCCAATGATTCCAGCTCAAACTGTCAAGAATAACCATGATTGAAATAATTTCTTTTTCAGTTTCAGTCTTTCCTTTTTCTCAAATTCCATTTGCATTATTTTGTCCAGCTTAAAATCTGTCAATACACAGCAGAAAATATAGACTAAACGGAGGACATGTACTATATAGAACGAACCTTTGGGGATCTGGGGGAGTAGGTGCAAATTTGTTTTCAAGGAGTTACCATTTCTTATCTAGTCATTCCTCATGCATTTCCGTAGTAATAACTTTTCATCACACATGTGTACCCACCCTTCATTCATTTTTCCATTGCCATTCAGCAATAGTGAAATACTTTATCTAGTCAGTGGCCCCTAAAACTAAGCTGTAGTGCTGGATGAAAAATTTAAAAATTGGAATTTGGAGTAAATCAGAAAACAATGAATGTATATCTCAGTATAAATAAAATTATTCAATCCATTATCTGCTTTTCCCTTGATTATTTGAATTTGTTCTAATGCTTTATAATTCCATGACACAGACTACTTCTAAATCTCTCCTCTAGTATCTGTTGTTCAGTACAAGATAAAGGCAAAAGCTCTTGATATCTTGAAAGGAATTAGTTGATTTGGCAGGACTGACTAGTTAGCGGATATGATCACTTAACTAGTAAATTAACTCTGCTTTGATTTTAAACTCACTTATTCCATTCCATAAAATAGACTCATTTGCTTGGAATGAATTAAAAAACAAGAAAAATATATAATTTTAATTTCAAATTATGTCTATTATTCTATTCTGTATAGCAAATGTGCTTTTTGGAAAGGGACCTTTTGTTTGTTAAATAAGCTTCCTGAGCATCATGTTTTCCTCAAACTTCTTTAATATCAACGGTCAGATTTTCATGAAGTAAATGCTGTAATGTCTGCCTCTGCTCTAGCTTTACAATCAGTGCACAATATGTATAATCTTGAAATTAAAATGAGATTATCATTCCTTTTATACAAACAGAATCAAAGAGTATGATTTTCAAACTAAAAATTATGGAATGCATTGATGTTGGTTTGAGAAAAGAGTTCTGATAATTCCTTTCTTAAATATTTTGCGGTTCTATGTAAAGTATTATGTTGTGCAGTTAACATCTCTCTCTATTGATGCCTGTTTGAACTAGCTGTAGCAACTTTTACAGCAGTAACTTGGAGGTTGTTTTTCCCTGCATGCCTTATTTTTCCAACAGCCTGTTTGGCTCACTTGATAGTGCTTCATCTGTAAATCAGGATTTAAGTACATTGTCTAAACAGTCATGAGGGAATGCTGAATTGTCACAGGTGTCTGGTTGATTGCATGGTGATATTCAAAAGAACGGGTGGTTCAATAATATCTTTGTCAACATTCCTCAGCTAACATTGCTATCGTAGATTTCAGATGCTCTTTAATGGACATGTCACATGTAAGTTGATTGCTGTATTTAGAACATAGAACATAGAGCACAGGACAGGCCCTTCGGCCCACGATGTTGTGCCAAACTTTTACCCGATCCTAATGTCTATCTAACCTCCACCCCTACCTAATACTATCATCCAAATGCCTATCTAATAGCCGCTTAAATGCCCCTAATGAAGCCGACTCCACTACCCTCTCCAGCAATGCATTCCACGCCCCGACCACTCCGAGTAAAGAACCTACCTCTGATGTCTCCCCTATATCTGTCTCCACTCACTTTAAAACTATGCCCCCTCGTAATAATTACCTCCACCCTAGGAAAAAGTCTCTGGTGGTCTACTCTATCT